GATTTTAAAAGAGTTTCCGGTGATTCTACGGTAGCGATCATGGCTAAGGTGAACACATGATCCTGGAGGTTTTTTCCTACAGGAAGATCGGAAACGACAGGAATCTGAAATTTAATATTAAACTAGTTTATTGTAAACTTTCAATTTAATGTTGAAGAGTTCTAAGTTAGCAATTTTACCCGAAGATTTTCTAGTTCTTCCTTTGGTCCAATACCTGACAACATCAATAACTGAGGAGAATTTATGGCTCCTGCAGACAATATTACTTCTCTACGAACTGAAACGGTTATAGTTTTGCCATGGTAATCGAATGTCACACCAATTGCACGTTTATTATTGTCAAAGTTGATCTAAAATATAGTATATTATTTTACTTATCATTAATACACATGATTTTATTCTTATTTAATTCTTATAGTAAATTAAAAGCTATAGTTATTCTAAAATTTAACATATTTTTAATTGACGTATTTTATGGCGTAGCTTTTGTCCACCAAAAAACAAGCTCAAAAATCGGTCTGCATTAAGAAATGAAATGCATTTCCTTCAATAAAAACTATATCAATAACGGCTCCCTGTGTTATGTGTTACTGAAGAAAGCCAATAGCTTTTAAAAACAAAATATAAAAGTTATTAATAAAAACCAGAAAATGTATGGTTGAAAAGTAAATACTTTTGTTACGAATGCAGAAGTACGAATGTCTAAATTTCTTCTTCCAACTATAGGATCTAAAAATGCCTTCTTTGTACTGCATCGTCTTCCATCTCTTATTGTTGCTTGAACTTCGGAAAATACTGAAAATATATAACAAACTTCATTATAGATTACATTTAAATTTAATTATTTATAGTAGTTAAAGAAATGGATATCATTATTTATATTTTAAGTTTGTAAAACTTATAGAAAATTGATTTTTTTTTACGTTAACTTTGTTGGTACTTTCATCTAATACGTTACGTAGTGTATTTAGTAAAAGAACAAGTTTTTAAAAATTGATACTTTACTTGAGGGGAAATAATCAGTAATTCGTAGTATCAACACAATTTAATAGGAAGAATTTTTAGTACACCTTTTTGAGATGCTCCATTGTAATCTCCAATGGGATAACCGAGTTCTTTTCCAGCTTCCAACATGGCCTTATTTATAGGGTTTTTGTACGCTGGCTTATCGACTGTTAATTCCCCTCCTGTTCCATGATAATCTGAAAAGAAATTTAAAGGAACAAATGTAGAAAACTCAGAAATTTAACAACTATAATTGCTAAATTTCTAAACAATTTTACTTCGTTTATTGTAGATATTTCACTTGTAAAATCGAATAAAAATTTAGTCGATAACAAACCTTTTTCGGTAGTTTCTGGGACTCTATTGTCCTCCGATTTTTTAAAATAAGGCAAGACATCATCGAAACTCCATCCTGTCGCTCCGTCTTCAGCCCATTGATCGTAATCTCTCTTATTACCCCTCACGTAAAGCATGTAATTGAGAACGCTACTTCCTCCCAGTACCTTTCCTCTTGGCCAGTTACTCCGCTATTTCCAAAGAATGTTTATTATAGTAAATGCAATAAATATACTTTCATAATATAATACTTTAGAATAGTAATATTTAGATAAAAGAAATTATAATTTTTCAATAGAATTAAATATTTTAACAACCAGTATAGAAAGTGAATAAAAACTAATTAGTGCACAGTACTTGTTGATTATATCCCCGACAAGAATTTTTTTGTCTGGTTGTTGTGTATTTCCAATCGTATTTCGTTTTTTGCAGGTTTATGGAGAAAGATGTCGTTTCCGAAATGAGATTAGGAAGTTCTCCAGCTTCTAAGAGTAGAACTTTTATGTTTTCATCTTTAGATAATCTGTTTGCAACAACGGATCCCGCAGATCCACTTCCCACTACAATAAAGAAAACGATCGATTAAAATATTAATGGTAATTTGATATACGTTATAAAATTATTAAATATGTTGAAAGTATGATTTTCAAAATATTTTAATATATAAACAATTCACACCCGAAAAATTCCTATTGATTTCGACTTGCCTGGACTCAATCCAGGGCCATCCGACCTTACGTTGAGTATTTGATATAAAATGATGTGAGGCCAAATGTAATAAATATTACACTCGACTAGCATTGTTACTATTATTAGAGATGTGATGAATATTTCGTTGTTCCGTTTCTTTTTACAATATTCCTATTAAGATATAACTATTCTCGTATGAAATGTTGACAATTGTATCAAATACAAATATACTAAAACACAATTTTTCATTAAATAAAACATAGCTCAAGATCATTGTCTTCAGGTGTTCCTACGATCACCTGAAGACAATGATCTGAGCTATGTATTATGAACATACACAACGAAACTTGTTTATTATATGTATTATGGACCACGTGATTAATAAAGCATTATTTATAATGCTCAGCCATCATTCTTTAGTCCAACTTTGCTTCAAACATGGGCTCATTGGAGTTGTAGTTTATACCAGTCTGATGCGCTTAATTTTTCATCAGTTGTACAAAACGTTAGTGTTGTTAGTCTCCAACCAAGAATTAAGCATATTTTCTAAGTTACGATTACATCTTTCTACTGAGTCCTGATTTTGTTAGCGCTTGGGCTTTCTATGCACCAGTTTTAACTTCGGCCTCATACTACACAGTTCTCTGATGATATTATTGGCGAATGCTCTGTCTTTATCACTTTGTAGAATACTCGTTGTATCGATAATTGTAAAATACACAGAATTATAAACGAAATATTCTTATTCATCACACTGAATGTTGAATTTAATTACCTGGAATGTATCCAAATAAAGATTTAAAAAATTGATCATATATCCTTTAATTTAATACCGATAACGTTAACTTTACATGAACAATAGTCTTAAATTTCTAGTCAGTACAGTTGTGTAGTCTTTTATACAGAAAACATGACAATAAAAATTATATATAAATTATAATTTTTTTNTAGATTAACCTAAATAAATGAATTTTCTGTATTTCTTCGAGAACAAAAAATCCACAGTTGAACTTTCTTTTGAAATATTTTCTATTACCTTAGTGGGAGGAGGATCCGCAGGATCCGTTGTTGCAAACAGATTATCCATAAATGCAAACATAAAAGTTCTACTTTTAGAAGCTGGAGAGTATCCTAATCTTATATCAGAAGCCATAGCTTTTCCTCTTCATCTACAAAAAACGAAATATGATTGGAAATATAAAACTACTAAACAAAAAGATTCTTGTTTGGGATACAATGATCAAGTAAGAATTAATTAATTTCCTTTTTTTTTTCTTTATTTGGCCCTTCAGGGCGAAATGTATAAAATGACTGACTATTGGTCGTGGGTTCGCACCTGACTAATGTTTTCTTCGCGTGCCTAACACCGGTTTCTCATAGTCCTTCTGGGTGGTATCTCCCTTGGCAGATCGTCCACGTGTTTCGTTGCCAATTCCATCAAACAAACCAATCAATCGATCTTTTAAATGTCATTTCATACAATATGAAATTGAAATTAAAATGTCATGTATAAAATTTAATTAATTATTTATTTATTATTATTATTATTATTCCTTGAAATAGCGCAGTAGTTGGCCAAGAGGAAAGGTACTGGGAGGAAGCAGCGTTCTCAATTACATGGTTTATGTGAGAGGTAATAAGAGAGATTTCGATCAATGGGCTGAAGAAGGAGCGACAGGGTGGAGTTACAAAGATGTTTTGCCTTATTTTAAAAAATCTGAAGATAATAGAATTCCAGAAATAATCGAAAAAGGTTTGTTTTCGATCATAATAACCGAAATAATTTTCTGAATTATCAAATTTTCATATCTTCTGATAAGAATTTCTTATTGCTGCTTCGTCAATTCTCTACAACGATTACAGTACATTCTTCTGGGTAATCAATATAAATATCAATTATATCTCTTCACTTTGCTGCAAACTTTCAATCTTGGGAGCATAGAATGACTGGGATTTTTTTTTTTTTTGAAGAAAGTCTCGAGCGTCGGGTATTGTCTTTGAACTGTATATTAGCAATATGGTTCTGTAGGGCGCGAAATAGATGATAGTCAGTTGGTGCTAAGTCTGGGCTGTAAGGTGGATGAGGCAGAACCCTCCAACCTAGAATAGTCCCTTTTGAAATTTGCAACAGCTGGTTGACATTTGTTATCCATTAGGGGGTATTCATAAATTACGTAGGCATTTTTCTTGAAATTTTTACTCCCCCTCTTGTCCCAGTTTGTTCAAGTTTCCCTAATATAAATTTTATTCTTTAGATTATCACTCTGTAGGTGGTGAATTAACCATCGACAAGTCATCGTATGAAAACCCTATAAAGAAAATTATGTTGGAAGCTGGGGAAGAACTTGGTTATCCCACTGGAGATTACAACGGAGCATCTCAAAAAGGTGTAACCATAGAAAATAAGTTAATGATTTTTATTTCTGACATATATATTAATATATTTTTATTTATTATTAAATTTATTTGGTTCATATTTTCCCATAAATTTAGTATTTTCCGAAGTTCAAGCAACAATAAGAGATGGAAGACGATGCAGTACAAAGAAGGCATTTTTAGATCCTATAGTTGGAAGAAGAAATTTACACATTCTTACTTCTGCATTTGTCACAAAAGTATTTATTTTTGCGCTGTTTATTTTATATTCAACTTATCAAATTTTGATTTACATTGTATAAATTATTAATTATGCTGTGATTTTGGGTATGTTCCTAAGCGGTCTTTCACTAATTATATTTCGTTTATTATGTGTAAGGCTCTCTTTTTAATGTTAATATGGCGATTGGCATTTTGTGGAAGATTTTCCTCTCTCGAATAAGCTGTGTATTTGGTTTTAAAGCTGTTGTCATTAAGTAGATCACTAGCAAATTCGAATTGGTGAATTGGCTTGTTTTCTTTTAATTCGAAATATATTTCAGATTAATTTTGACAATAATAAACGTGCAATTGGTGTGACATTCGATTACCACGGCAAAACTATAACCGTTTCAGTTCGTAGAGAAGTAATATTGTCTGCAGGAGCCATAAATTCTCCCCAGTTATTGATGTTGTCAGGTATTGGACCAAAAGAAGAACTAGAAAAGCTTCAGGTAAAATCATAAACTTAAAATTTATAACAATAAAAGCAGCGATTTAAAAAATTTTTTCTATATTATTTAACACTTGAATATTTTGTAGATTCCTTTGATTGCCAATCTTCCTGTAGGCAAAAATTTACAAGATCATATAACTACCATGTTTGTTATTGCAACTATGGAATTACCATACACAATGCTAAAATCTAGAATAAGTGTAGATGATTTTTTATCATATTTAAAAAATCAGAAAGGTATAATCATATACGAACTTCGTATTAAGAATTTTAAATGTGTTTTTAATGTTATTATTCATTTCTAACAATTTATATATTAAATAGTGAAATTTCTATTGTATAGATGAACGTCTATTAAAATTAACAGTATTTAATTTTACAGGAATATTAAATACTTTAGGAGGGACCGATATTATTGGATTTGTAAATACTAAATATAATAAAATAGAAGAATGGCCGGATATACAATTAGTTTTATTAACAGCCTCTTTAGCCAGTGATGGAGGAAGTGTTTTTAAAGATGCAATTGGTTTATCCGATCAGGTATTTAAAAGTGCTTTGCAGTATATACTTATAAAAAAAAAGGACCTCATAAATCCACGTTTTCTTAACGTCTAAAATCATAATTTGTTTTATTTTAAGATAGTAAAAGAATACGTAATTCCCTATATTAATAATGATACCATTACTTGCTTACCAATTTTACAAAGACCTAAAAGCAAAGGAGTAATTCGACTAAATTCAAATAATCCTTATGATCATCCCATTATTGATCCGAAATACTTATCTCATCCAGATGATCTTAAAGTTTTAGTTGAGGGTAATTATTATTATTATTATTTTGTTTATATATGTATTATAATGTGACAATATTAAATTTAGTATATTTTAAAACTGTATAAACAGGAACGAAAATTTGCTTGGATCTTTTTTCAACATCCGCAATGAAGAAAATAGGAACTAAACCAGTTGATGCTATAATTCCAGGTTGTGAAAAATATGAAAAGTTTTCGGATGATTACTTGGCATGTGCTCTTCGAATTAACACGCAAACATCATATCATCCGATGGGCACTTGCAAAATGGGTAGCAGTGATGATCTAAAAGCCGTTGTGGATCCTAATCTCAAGTATGTTATACGAATTCGTGGATCATTATTTTAGGCAATGTCTTACTTTCTTCTTCTTCTTCTTTTTTTGGCTAATTAGAGTAAAAGGTGTCAAAGGTCTACGTGTGATCGATGCATCAATCATGCCCAGTATGATATCCGGTAATATTAATGCTGCTGTCATCATGATAGGAGAAAAAGGGTCAGATTTAATTCTAGATGAATTCGAGAAATTTAATGGAAAAGAAGAATTGTGATTTATTTTTGATTGTTAATAAATTAATAATTATCACTTTTCAAAAGTTTTTAATTTATAAAATGCAACCTTAAATGTTTTTAATTTGTTGTATTGAAAAATTCATATAAACATGTAAAATATATACAAAAGATTAAGTCGAATTATTTGAATTACAGTAGACCCCCCCCTATAGCACTGTAGATAATTCCGTGTTATATGAATTCCATGTTGTACGAGTCACTTAGATTTTACAAATACGTGTGCCGGGCTGTGAACGGTTCACGTATTTGTAAAATTTAAGTGACTCGTACAACATGGAATTCATATAACACGGAATTATCTACAGTGCTATAGGGGGGGGTCTACTGTAATTCAAATAATTCGACTTAATCTTTTGTATATATTTTACATGTTTATATGAATTTTTCAATACAACAAATTAAAAACATTTAAGGTTGCATTTTATAAATTAAAAACTTTTGAAAAGTGATAATTATTAATTTATTAACAATCAAAAATAAATCACAATTCTTCTTTTCCATTAAATTTCTCGAATTCATCTAGAATTAAATCTGACCCTTTTTCTCCTATCATGATGACAGCAGCATTAATATTACCGGATATCATACTGGGCATGATTGATGCATCGATCACACGTAGACCTTTGACACCTTTTACTCTAATTAGCCAAAAAAAGAAGAAGAAGAAAAAAGTAAAACATTGCCTAAAATAATGATCCACGAATTCGTATAACATACTTGAGATTAGGATCCACAACGGCTTTTAGATCATCACTGCTACCCATTTTGCAAGTGCCCATCGGATGATATGATGTTTGCGTGTTAATTCGAAGAGCACATGCCAAGTAATCATCCGAAAACTTTTCATATTTTTCACAACCTGGAATTATAGCATCAACTGGTTTAGTTCCTATTTTCTTCATTGCGGATGTTGAAAAAAGATCCAAGCAAATTTTCGTTCCTGTTTATACAGTTTTAAAATATACTAAATTTAATATTGTCACATTATAATACATATATAAACAAAATAATAATAATAATAATTACCCTCAACTAAAACTTTAAGATCATCTGGATGAGATAAGTATTTCGGATCAATAATGGGATGATCATAAGGATTATTTGAATTTAGTCGAATTACTCCTTTGCTTTTAGGTCTTTGTAAAATTGGTAAGCAAGTAATGGTATCATTATTAATATAGGGAATTACGTATTCTTTTACTATCTTAAAATAAAACAAATTATGATTTTAGACGTTAAGAAAACGTGGATTTATGAGGTCCTTTTTTTTTTATAAGTATATACTGCAAAGCACTTTTAAATACCTGATCGGATAAACCAATTGCATCTTTAAAAACACTTCCTCCATCACTGGCTAAAGAGGCTGTTAATAAAACTAATTGTATATCCGGCCATTCTTCTATTTTATTATATTTAGTATTTACAAATCCAATAATATCGGTCCCTCCTAAAGTATTTAATATTCCTGTAAAATTAAATACTGTTAATTTTAATAGACGTTCATCTATACAATAGAAATTTCACTATTTAATATATAAATTGTTAGAAATGAATAATAACATTAAAAACACATTTAAAATTCTTAATACGAAGTTCGTATATGATTATACCTTTCTGATTTTTTAAATATGATAAAAAATCATCTACACTTATTCTAGATTTTAGCATTGTGTATGGTAATTCCATAGTTGCAATAACAAACATGGTAGTTATATGATCTTGTAAATTTTTGCCTACAGGAAGATTGGCAATCAAAGGAATCTACAAAATATTCAAGTGTTAAATAATATAGAAAAAATTTTTTAAATCGCTGCTTTTATTGTTATAAATTTTAAGTTTATGATTTTACCTGAAGCTTTTCTAGTTCTTCTTTTGGTCCAATACCTGACAACATCAATAACTGGGGAGAATTTATGGCTCCTGCAGACAATATTACTTCTCTACGAACTGAAACGGTTATAGTTTTGCCGTGGTAATCGAATGTCACACCAATTGCACGTTTATTATTGTCAAAATTAATCTNTCAAAATATTTTACTATATAATCAATCCATGGTATCTGATATTCACAGGTTGTTTATATATAATACAGAATTATCTTCCCTTCAGAATCAAACATATTATAACCTATCTCATGATCATATTTATTTATTTATTTAAAACTCTTTCCCCCTGTGAGCAATAAAAATGCGTTTTAAGTAAGCCTATTATGGGTGTTGCCAGACCTATAATTGGACGGCCGTATGGTGAGGGATATGCCCGACATATCAGCAGAATACACCCGAAAAACTCCTGGTGATTTCGACTTGCCTGGATTCAATCCAGAGTCCCTCAGGACTATTCTGCCTTTCATGGTCATGGTATGTTGGATTCCTGATATAACATGTTGTTCAGTCAAATTTAATTTAATAAATGTTAAACTTGACTAGCATTGTTACTATCGTCAGAGAGGTCATGAATATTTCGTTGTTCCAAACAGCTACTCCCGAAAACTAGAGGCGTTTAGTAAAAAAAAAATCTCAGAAGACCCAGAGAAAAATGCAAAAATTGTCACACAAAGACTGCAGAGTATAGAAATACCAAATAATTATAGATACGATTACTGTCGTATGTAAATCTTTAAGTGAAAACAGGAGTGCCAAAGCGGTAATACCCGAATGGTCGGGGCATTCTCGCTCGATGGATAGCATTGGATTATTATTCAAAAATATTTTTAAAATAACTTGTATATTAAGTAAATAAAATCGAATGTAAAGAACACTTTAAATTTATATTTCACTAATAAAGTTTTCATGTTTGTATAAATCTGAGTGTGTAATTTTAGTTTTCTCTTAGATACGAGGCATTACCAAACTTTCTCCTATGTGACATTTAATTTAATACCGATAACGTTAACTCGATACGGACACTAAACCGAAATTTCTAGTTAGCGTAGTTGTCTAGTTACTAATATTATAATTCTAAATTTACTTTTTTAAATAAAAGAGAATAAATATTAAGATATTAAGGAAGATCGGAAACGACAGGAATCTGAAATTTAATATTAAACTAGTTTATTGTAAACTTTCAATTTAATGTTGAAGAGTTCTAAGTTAGCAATTTTACCCGAAGATTTTCTAGTTCTTCCTTTGGTCCAATACCTGACAACATCAATAACTGAGGAGAATTTATGGCTCCTGCAGACAATATTACTTCTCTACGAACTGAAACGGTTATAGTTTTGCCATGGTAATCGAATGTCACACCAATTGCACGTTTATTATTGTCAAAGTTGATCTAAAATATAGTATATTATTTTACTTATCATTAATACACATGATTTTATTCTTATTTAATTCTTATAGTAAATTAAAAGCTATAGTTATTCTAAAATTTAACATATTTTTAATTGACGTATTTTATGGCGTAGCTTTTGTCCAAAAAACAAGCTCAAAAATCGGTCTCCATTAAGAAATGAAATGCATTTCCTTCAATAAAAACTATATCAATAACGGCTCCCTGTGTTATGTGTTACTGAAGAAAGCCAATAGCTTTTAAAAACAAAATATAAAAGTTATTAATAAAAACCAGAAAATGTATGGTTGAAAAGTAAATACTTTTGTTACGAATGCAGAAGTACGAATGTCTAAATTTCTTCTTCCAACTATAGGATCTAAAAATGCCTTCTTTGTACTGCATCGTCTTCCATCTCTTATTGTTGCTTGAACTTCGGAAAATACTAAATTTATGGGAAAATATGAACCAAATAAATTTAATAATAAATAAAAATATATTAATATATATGTCAGAAATAAAAATCATTAACTTATTTTCTATGGTTACACCTTTTTGAGATGCTCCGTTGTAATCTCCAGTGGGATAACCAAGTTCTTCCCCAGCTTCCAACATAATTTTCTTTATAGGGTTTTCATACGATGACTTGTCGATGGTTAATTCACCACCTACAGAGTGATAATCTAAAGAATAAAATTTATATTAGGGAAACTTGAACAAACTGGGACAAGAGGGGGAGTAAAAATTTCAAGAAAAATGCCTACGTAATTTATGAATACCCCCTAATGGATAACAAATGTCAACCAGCTGTTGCAAATTTCAAAAGGGACTATTCTAGGTTGGAGGGTTCTGCCTCATCCACCTTACAGCCCAGACTTAG